GAAATACTTCAGAGTTAATCTTACTGAAGGCTTCATATATATGTATATATATGTATAGTCCCTGCTGTATATAGTGATTGAAATGTTAGGGTGCAGTTGGTTATTGTTGCTGCTTGTGTAACAAGTGATCCCTTGTAGGAAACCAGGAAACAATGGTAAACAAACCATGGCAAACTGCTAATGTTGCTAATGCTACATCTACATTATGACATTTTGTGAACATTGAGGCTCTATCCAAATCTTCTGGGGCTCAAAAATTTTATCTAAGGATGTGTTTAGACTTTGGAGATTTTCCAATAAAACCTCAAGAAATAAACGCTGGAAGAAATATTCTAAAACATAATTTGACAAAGAGTAAGAAGTGTAGATGTCCTCACTGTTAAATATGACTGTCTATAGTAGATATATTATCCTTAAAATATCTTTTAATCATCTTAGATATATGACACTTCAAAAAATTGGGCTAATAAAAAATGCCTCATAAGAGATAAAGTATATTTAGTAAGCATCAATAGAAGAGTATAACTGCAAAGAAATTGCATCTAAGGTATATCTGCTTAATGGCATTCCCAAACTCGGTCCTCAAGGCCCCCTGTCCTGCAGGTTTTAGAGGTTTCCCTGCTTTAGCACAGCTGGTTATAATGATTGCAGTAGACCAAAAGCCTGTTAATCAGCTTTCAATTAAAATCAGCTGTGCTGGAGCAAGGAAACCTCTAAAACCTGCAGGACAGGGGGCCTTGAGGACCGACTTTGGGAATGCCTGGAATAGACAATTGTCTGGCATATTGGACACTTAAACATGTTATCTTAGGCTACATCTTTGTACAAGTTCAGTAAGATTAGATGAAATAATCTGAGGTAATCTTGGTAAAGAATGTTGAATGTAGATCTGCATCTTACAGATGAGAGATGAGAGACGAGATGACCAGATGAGGTTCATTTGCAGAAATAAATCCAGAAAAGGCATGGTGCTTCAGTGTCAACTTTCTAGTTATACTGTATAAAAAGCTCTTTATGAGACTAAGTAAATTGCTGATGTGCGATTCATGGCTACAAAAAATGGGGTAGCTGATCAAACCTTTTACTAAAATTGTAACTGGCTTAGATCAAAAGCTAAAAGAGACCAGGGATTAAACTATATATATATATATATATATATATATATATATATATATATATATATATATATATAAAGGATAGGTCCCAAAACAGTCCCCAGTCTTTCCTCACACACCGTCATTTTTTTTATCCACTTCAGCAAACCTCCCTGTTTTCTCCCACAATATGGAAGCTAGAAATGGAGACTGAAAAGTTGGGTGAGCAAAGGGTAACCTTAACAGCAAGTCTGTTGGAAAAAAAATGAGGTGAAGAGGAAAAAGACAGATTTAGGAAGAAAAAGGGGATAAAATAGTGGCCCATGGCGCAGATAAACGATGGGCAACGCCGGGCGAGTGGTGGAGCAGCAGAGGAGGACAGTGATGAAGTAGTGGTGTGGTAAAGGAGAAAGAAAAAGTGGAGTAATAATAGATGAAGACAATAGAAGTGCATTAGAGCTAGAGGTGGCTTTTGAGCTTCTGTTGAACAAGGGTTTACGTTTGGGGCACATCTAAATATCGTTGTATTTGTTTTTATGCTTAGCGATCTAGAGTCATTATTCTGTCAATAGAAAAGCAAATATTTCGTATGTATAATAATTTGGTCTGACAAAGTCGGTGAGGTACAGAACAAGTACCTATCCGGATGATTAAGGAGATACCTCTAGTTTACTCCACTTACGTCTAAAGCGTGCCAGAAAATCATGTTGTCACCCTTTCAACCCCTCTTCAGATTTCCTCCGTGGCCTTCTTCACAAGAGTCCGGAAACCCCTCCTGGCACACACACACACCCACCCACGTGCTCCAATGTGGCCTCCAGAGAAGCCTGTCACTGTGAGTGGCCTTCTGGCACAGGAGGATAAACTACCTGTCACGCCTGTGACTTGCTGTGGAATTCATATCAGAGGCAAAACAAAGGAGGTGCTGAGGTCACGGGGCATCACTCTTACATTATTCATCCTCTGCTTCCTCCTTCCGTCTCTTCTCGGCCTGTCGCCTACTTTGTTCTGCCAGATCACAACAAGGGCAACTGTCGGTGTCCTCCGTGGCTCCCGGTTTTTAGGAAGCAAAGTAAATAAGCAGTATACTAAAGCCCCCATCGGAAAAAAGTGATCGCTTTGGTAGGGTGTGTTGAGTTCAGGTTAATCATGTGACCAAATTCTGGGAAAGGAGCACGTCTTCAATTCTGAATGTCATAGCATCATAAAAATTTTAAAATATTCTTTTCCTCCCACTCGTGGTTCAGTCTCCCTGAGTGCATAATTTATCAGCATCTTGGCAGCTGCTTGTTTGCATACACTGTGCAGGACGTCGGATGGTCTGGTGATTCAGGGGCAACTGATTTGTGACCATAGACAGAGAAGAATACACAGGAGTTTGGCTCTGAGGGTTTTAGGTAAAGCTGGGTAATTCTGAGGTCTGTTGGGAAATTTAGCACCAAAGAGCATACTTGTTTGCTTTACAATAAATATTAAATGTTAAGATCGTTATATATAACGATATACAGGAGAGCAAGAAGGTCTTACATAATACTCCCATCAGATTTAAAATGAAAATGATGTGCATTCAACCAAGATTTTTCTTTTCTACGAAATTGCAGAAAATATAGCAGTGTAAAAGGAGTGTTGTTTTTTTGTGTGTGTGTTTTTAAAGAAGAGCACCTGGAAAGCTCAGACCTCCACCAAAAATCTAATTTTGCCCCATATTTTAACTTACACCTATAGCTTAAACTCGCATATGATCTGGATCATTACCAAATTGTGATGAATTGTCCCTTAACATGGGTCACACCCATGGTAAAAAAAAATGCACTTAAAATTCAACCATAAGCTAGGCACGGTGTGTGTCCGCAGCCTCTGGTGTCTCTTCTGTTCTTCTTCATTCACTCTGCTCGCTGACCAGAAGATAAAGATTTCGAGCAAGACACGACTCCCTTTTTTGTGTTTTTGTGCGCAGTGTTATACTTCCAGACACTTTTCAGTCCCATGCTGAGGCTCTCAATAGTCACTGCTACCACCATCTGGTTTATGCGGGAACTGCTTACTCAGGCAAATATTCCTAAAGCACAATGTTAAAGAATCCTTTAAAAAAATCCTGTATACGGATTATTATCTGGATCACCACCAACATTTTTTGTATTGTTCCTTGGCATGATGCTCACCTCTGGTAAAAATGTATTTAATATCCATATGTAACATTTCAAGTGTTCTTGCCAACAAACAAAAATGTCAAAAAAGATAACCTCCTTGGCTGAGGTAAAATTGTATAAAATGGTTTAGACACCATTCACAAATCGATAGAATAATTTAACAAGAAATAGCAGTAATTTTTTTTATTTAATTTTAATTCCAATAGTTAAGTAGGCGGTCCTTGCTGGATTATCTTTAAAAAGTAATATGTACTTTCTATCCAGTATTACTTCCAAAGAAATGTTAAGTGTATTAAGTTTTCCCAGGGTATAAATGAGTTATCTTGTTGGACGAGAGCAAGGGTAACATATTTACTCCTTAAACAATAAAAGTACAGATAAATCAAATCATTATCAAGAAAGATTTTTGTTTTTCATTCAAGGAAGTGAAACTTATAGAAAATCAAAAATGTGTTATGAAGTTGCAAACACTTTATTTCTCATAATTTTGATTAATCCAAGTCCAAATTCAGTGTTTCAAAAAATTACAGTATTAAGTGGAAGGAAAATTTATTTTAGAAAGGGTGCACCGGCTACAGGGATAACCACAGCACTGTTACACAGTTATACCAGCAGATTAAGAATCTGTTAATACAGTAAATAGAACTGGAAGCTATAGTTAATTAATATGTCATTCAAATAGTGGGTAAAACCAATTAATTATTTTAATTAATTAAATGATTATAACTGACAATTAGATCAATTACCAGGTGCTATAAAGGCTTACCTTACCTTTGTGGCTGGACGTTAGACTTAGACAGATTTATTTTGTCATTTTGTATACACAAGAAAAATAAATTTCGTTAAGAACAGTTCTGTAGACAATTTCATTTTTTAAAGTGCAGCCTTGATAAGGTAAGCAGCAGTGATAAAAAAAAAAACATTGCGATGAAAAACAGTAATGTAAACATATGATGTTGTGGACCGGAATCAGTGTGTTCTCATTATCAGTTCGTATGAAATCGTACGAAAAGTTATGCACAGTAATTTTGTACGTTTTTGACGTTTTTTTCGTCGTATTTCGTAGAATTTTTATGTCTTGCCTCGAGACAAGATATCCTTGCGCATGCGCATCTTACGCACCATTCAATAACATAGAATTTAACATACAATTAACCCTAACCCTGACTCTAACCCTGTCTGGCTGCGCATGCGCACTGATCTGTTTTTTCGAGGAAAAACGTCAAAAACGTACGAAATACTGTGCATAACTTTTCGTAAGATTTCATACGAACTGATAATGAGAATCCGGAATCCATGTTGTCCCTATCATCAAAAAAATTTCAGTAACTTGGCTTTAAATTCAAGCAGAGTTATTATCATTATCCACAAGGAAAATATTTATCTGTCTATTCAAGTTATTAACTCTAAAGGAAGTAGGCTCAGCTCTTAGAGACCTTCAGTCACTGCCGTATAAATAATCATAGACAACAATTAAAATAATTGTACTTTTATTAAACCTGATATTTCCTGTTGCAGTATATTTTTTTAATGAGCCAAATGTATTTTTGTAAGTAGAATGTTTTCATTTTAGTTCTTCACTTGCAATTCCTAGTTTTCAAACATACTTTGATCACTTTCCGAAGAGAATATGGAAGATACCATGATGGATCGGTTTTACAGAACAACAAAGATAATCTCACACCTATTCTTCTACATTTATGTTGGTAACTGTCCGGTAACACCGTTCCCTTTTTTTTTCTTCCCCCAATTACAGAAACAGCTGTCTGCTCTGGGTTTGACCGACGCCTTGGACCAGAAGGTAGCTGATTTCTCTGGGGTGTCCGACAAGGGCAAAGGGAAGCTTCACCTTGGTGGCGTCCTCCACTGGGCTTCCTTGGAGCTGGGTCCCAAGGCTGGAAAAGAGGAAGCAAACCTCGAAGATGAGAAGATAGAAAAACCCAAGCTGTTCTACGCCGACCATCCGTTTATCATCTTTGTCAGAGACAACACCACCGGAGCCCTGCTGCTGATGGGCGCTCTAGACCACGCCGAAGGAGAGCTCTTACATGATGAATTATAACGTCTCTTCTCACTTCCTGTCTTTTTTCATTTTTTCCAAGTCCCTCTCCCAGACAGCTTGCTAGTTTCTGAGTGCAGACATTGTCATTTACTGTGGCACTCTTTCACATCACACTGTCATACGCTGACACCACCATAGTCTTCTGGCTGAGTGACACTGACACCCTCATATTCGACATTTACAGTGTCAGACCCAGAGCTACACCTACACTGCATGTATAAATGATAACTCTGTACAAGACATCACTGAAGTCGACGGATACAACATAAATCTTCCAACTCGGAGGAAATTAAAGGCTTTTCCTTCCACTAAAAGAAACTTTTAGAGACTGATCAAATCATCAAAAATGACAAACAAGGCTGTTGTGGCAAAGATCCACCATCTTGACATGCAGAGGAGTGGTTACAGACAGGATTCTTTCGACCAATACAACACTAAGACAGTAGCAATGTTGTCACTCTCTCCTGATGTCCTCTGAGGGTCATCACTGGAAGAATGATGGCTTCCTCTACTGTTTATTGTTGAGTCAGCTTAATGTTAAGGATTGTATCGCATTACAGCTCGTCAACAAAACATGAAGAGAAAGGCCAAACATTTTAATCTCCTAAAGCCATCACAGATCCTTGATGCCATTACATCACTGGAAACAAACTTGAAGGACATCACCTGATTTACATGTAAAAGCCTACATTTTTATGTTTTCTACAAGTAAATGCGTTATTGATTGTTACATTTTTTAAAATCTAAAATCAATAATCCTGTTGTTGTTTTAATCTGTTAGGTTGTTAAAAACATCTTATTGACTTTGTACTCAGAAGTAAGACTCCTTTGTTTCAAGTTGGGGGGAAAATACAATGGTCTCTGATGTTGGAATTTGAAATTTGAAAGCTACTTATCCACTCTGAATTCACTTTTCAGGGTGCCATGGATGCATAAGAAACATGGCTTCTGTTGAAGGAATATATCTGCAATTCTGACAGGTTTTAATATATTGACACATCAATTGGAATTTTGGATTGGTTTGACACCTTTTGTATACTTAGACCTACTTATATCTATTCTAGCCAGTTCTGGTTTCTCTCTCAGTAGCATTATTTAAGAAAGAACAGCATTTATTTTTAGTCTCCCTGCTGTGAGTGCTTTTTTATTATTTATATTAGGAACGGATGCAACATCATGCACTGTGTAAGTGAACAGTTGCTATAGACCAGTCCTTTTTTCATTATTTTAAACCGAAAGAGAAGCAACATTGAGATTTAAAACTGTCCAAACATACTTTATATAAGCAAAAAAAAAAAATCAGCTAGCATTACTGGAACCATTGTCTCCGTTTTACTTTCTGGATCCTTCAAATCCTCCAACTTAAATTTCTTCCATGATAGATAAAGGCTAAAAATATCGAGCCTTCCTGTTATCAGCATATGTCTTTCTATTAGGGCCTACATGAACCACAGACATGTACCAATATGTTCTTCCCTACCTGCTATTTATACAAAGCCTGCTTAGCCATGCCACAGAAAGAACTCCACAGTAATTATGCAACTACTCGGTCAATTAGTTTTTACAGCATCCATATGGCAGGCACCACCATCCCCTGAAATTAGACCAAAGTTTATTTTTGCTGGAATCTGCAGCAAGTTTTGAGACAAAGATGGTTATTTTCAGAATAATTTAATTAAGAAAGAATGGATTTCACAAAGGCTTCATTCAATTAAGAAATACTATGTAGAATAAAACTGAAAATATTGGATACAAAAAAAGTGCAAAACACATTTCAGGTCTGTTACCTACAGAATTAATTATTTTGGTTTCCATTTTAGATTTATCACAGGTGGATTTTATCCTACAGTCTTGCATTTCCTGCACATGATTCATGGTAGGGATACTCCATGGATTGGCAATAATATAAGAGTCTGCCAATATTCGTAACTTTTAAGAATATTGGTAATCGTTTTGGGTCGACATTAAAAACAGATATTTGTTTTCCATGTAGTTATTGTTTTGTTTTTTTTTAAGAAGGGGTGGGTCTTTTTTGATGATATGACAGAATAAGGGATGCAGCTCAGGGTTGTAGACGTTCCCAGAAGTAGAGAGGCAATATCAGCACTAGGGGTGGAACGGTTCACAAAATCCACGGATCGGTTTGGTTCACGGTTTCGTGGTCATGGTTTTCAGTTCGGTATATGTTGATTGTTAGGAAAATCTATTATATCTTGTATAGCACAACATGCATTGCACAATGCTTGCAGACTGTTGCACTTTTATCCACAACTTTCTTTCCGCGGTCATCGCAGGTCACTCTAAATGCAAAGTGCTGCTAGCGTGTCTTCCAACTCCTGTTCTTTCCCATTCGCCATACCCACACAGTTCTGCACAACAACAGATTTTTTTTCTGCTACACCCGGCGACGCTGCTTCCCTTCTTCTTCTTGTTTATCTACTGGTGGTTGGCTTTGGTCGCAGTACTGCCACCTTCTGCTCTGGAGTGTAAACGCTTCGCCTATTAGAAAAAGGAGCAGCGCATGAACCAATCGCAACACACGCGAATTGAACCGAGACAGTCGAACCGAATGGTTCGGACGGCTTTCATAAATTGTTCCATCCCTAATCAGCACTGTGGTTGGTTTTTCATAGTGTCCAAAGGGTCGAAAAATATTTAATACCATTAAATATCAGTTATCATCCATATCTATAGACTTAACTTATATCGATACCGAGATTTTCATATTCGTCTATCTGTACTTCATGGAATATCCCAAGTTTTGTAGGGGAGCAGATTAGGGCACGTCCAGTTTAAATGGTAACTGGAGCAAAAGCAGAGAAAGGGCTTTTCTATATGATAGAAAAGATGAAAAAAAAAACAGAAGGACTTTATAAGCAGCAGATACATATTCACTGCATTGCACTTGTAAAACTGGGCTGCTGTAAGCAAGAAAACTAGAGGATCTTCAGTATACACAACCGGACAAAGTTGTGAACATAAAACAGAAAAAAATACATCAGTAAATACTCAGACGTAATAAATAAACTGGTGCTAAAATGCAATTCAGGTCTTTCACGATGGTTGTGAAGCTCAGAGGGTGCACTTAAAGTGTAATCCACAAAACATGCTCTTACTCCTCTGCATGAATATTAACCCTCTGAAATAGTTGGTAATCTTTGTGCATTTTCACTAAAGTCAACGAGTTCTCTTCGTGGTCAAACACAACAAAAATCTGTTTTCATGTACTTCAGGCTGGTTCTTTCCCCTGACCAGTCTCAATATTGTACCAGCAGCAAGGTAAAATTGGAGAGTCCCGCTCAGCATCTCTATCAGCAGACTGACCCCCAGTTGTGTCAGTTCTATGATTCTCCTCTAAAAGCCAAGTGCTGCGCTGTAATAGGGATGACTGTACTCTTAGTGCTCTTCCAGCTGTCTCACTACTCTTATTTCCCCAATCACTTGCCCTGACCATGGAGTGAACCCATCACACAGGGCAAGGAATAAGACAGGAAGTTCACATCCATGTTTTTTTGCATCATATTTTATTTAAAAACAGTGATTAAAGATTAAAATATGTCTTTTATTTTTTGTGTGAGATGAACACTGCAGTTAGCTTAGAGACATCACAGGAAAACAATAATGATGCTCATTTACCTTTTTGAAAAAACAAACTTTTAATCACTTTGGGGCTTTTTAAAAACATACAAGAAGAAACATACAAAAATATATATAAAAAACAAAAGGATTCAGTTTTTGAGGGGCTTTTTATTGGCAGAGTTGCCTTTTCGGTTGCCTGGAAATCCTGAGCAATGACAATTTTTAAAGTGACAATGTTTAGATAAGTGAAATCCTCAGAGATGTGGGCAAAACACCCAATTTAATTTCCAATAGCTTCATGCTCCTGTGAGATCAAATAAACCCTCTCCATGCTAATTAATGCTGTGTTTGTTGCCACTCAGATCTGGGACTTATGCTCCCACCAGAGTTAAGCATGTCCTAGGCAGAAAACCAGTGGGATTTTATAATTGTTAAGGTGGTTACTGTTAATGGCAAAACAAGCCAATAACATATTTCTGTTAATTACATGAGATTAAATACATAATGATAATGTTAATACAAATCATACCATATTATGAGTTCCAAATGTTTGTTGTAATACGAAAGGTGAAAGGTAGGTATCTATAATCATTATCTGCAACTGTCACCGTGATTTCTATAGGTAGCTGCCTAATGAGACATATGCCTGAAGACATCCAACTTTTCATCCGTATATCAAATTAGTTGTTGATGCTGCATGATAGAAAACATTCAATATGTGATACTATTAGTGAATGTTTTCCCTACAGCTTGTTTCAATTTTTTTCTCTTTCAAGCCAGGAGCTTGTAAAAGTCAAGATAGGAACGAGTCGGAGCAAAGATATTAATCTAATTGGTCAAACTAACAGGTAGGTAATCAAGGTATTTGCCTCAAAGAGGAAAGGAAGGATTGATATGGGATCCATGTCTACCTACAATTAGCCAAACATTTTTTCTGCAAATGCTGTCCTGTAAGCGTTATGATCCATTTTCTAACAAATGCTTTACTTTGAAGATGTTATACTGTAACTGAAGTAATATAATAAAAAAAATAATAAAACATTTTATTTTTTATTAGGGAAAACAGCACACAAATAAAACTATTAATTTAGTTTAAGCAGCAATAAAATTTAAGCACAGCTGTTTATTACATAATTACTTTGCATTGAGAGAGTTTACATTACTGCCAAAAGAAAAAGTGACCAGACGTCCCCAATATCTGACGACAGACCAAGATTTGGACCACCTGTCCCCAGCTAAAGCTGTTCCCAGAAATGCTCCCAATTTTACAGTTTAATGAATGAGGGGAGAAATCTTGCATGTAGACTGTTATTACGTCTACATGCAAGAAAGCGTGAGCATGTTGCTGGAAGAAACAGCTGTTACAGTATCTAGGTGCACTGCTGTTAAAGGAAAGACGAGGAACAGAGTGCATCACTTTTAAAACAGGAGGAGGTAGAAGGTTGTTGTCAGAACCGGTCGCAGCTGATGGGGAGATGCTCTGAGTTATGTTAAGTGTGTTCACTTTATTTGATAACTGTTTTGTCTGTGCCCAGGTGAAAAACAAAACAAAAAAGGGCTTTGATGGGTTTTATTTTGCTAAAGAAAGTGACCCAAAATGAAACATAAACCATGCTAATGTTAAAAAAGGAACTTATGTCCCACTGAATGCGATTACACCTCAGAACTTCCCTTCCGGTTCTTTTCCAGGGAGCAAGCAACTTGGTTTAATTACTCTTAACTCACAACTTGGTAAAATTATTTAAAAATGACTAAAAATGAGCAGAGTTTATTACAGTTAAGATCATTACAGGAAAGAGAAATTGCTTGTAGTCGGCACAACTTTAGGCTCAAGTCCTCAGCATGCGATGGTATCCAGAAAATGAGCCCTGAACAAGGTCATCTCCTGCTTCTCACAACAAATAGTAAGAGAAAATTACAGGTTTCAGCTGATGAGTAAAAGAGGCAAACACAATATAACAATGATTGGAAACTCCTTGTAAGGCGCTAATGTGGTACGCAGGTTACCCAGGGATAAACAAAGGTTTGTCCAAAGAGGTTATAGAACTGATTGATGACCTTTAGTTTATATTTTCAGACAGTTATTATAACTAGAATTATAAGTTGATTTATGGTTGTAATTTATGAGCATAGACTCCCAGGTGTGGTTTTCTACTAGTCATTTTGGATAAATGAAAGTTCCTCATCAAAATAAATAACCACAAATAAAAACTGTTCATTTATGATGTTGTTTTAGCTCCAACTGTTGTAGTTATTAGCATTTGTAGTATTTAGCTACAGGTATAGAATAAATGTTGAAGAAATGTTTGTATTTACTTCGGGTTTTTCTTTTCCTCCTGTCCCTCTCCTGTTTTGCAGACTATAGAGCACTTTTGGCCCTTCAAAATTGGTAACCCTGGTAACCACCTTTGACCCCTCCAATCCCACTTCCTTCCCCCGACCCAGAGAAACATTTCTAGTTTTCTATTATTAAAAATATTGATTTATTCTTGTTGTTAATCTTGGGAATTCTAACAGTGGACACGCACATTCCTATAAATGAACCCATTACTGTCCCAGTTTCCTAATTTCATCTTGGTGAAATGCGTTTCTTTTTATCTACTTTTTTTTTTAAAGCTGTCAAAGCTATTATAAAAGAAACAATGGTATATGTGTGCTATGTATGACTTCTAGTTGTAGTAATTGGATATACAACAATAAAACAATACAAATTCAGTTAGAAATGGTGTGTGTAGCGAGCTGTAACCGTGGCAAAGGGAAATAAAATAAAAAGCAAACTGTTTTGTGGAATATACTGGCTTTAATAGCTCTATTTGGGTTGAATTAAGAAAGGATATGAAGGTTTCCAGTTTTCTTGAAAGACTGAAATATGGTTCTATTTTTTAGGGTTATGTTTTTACATTTTATGTAATCTGAGATTAAGTTTATCCAATGGTTAATGTAACATGCGTTTTTTATGATTTCCACTTATGGTGGAATACTTTCTTAGTGACAGTTAGAGAAATGATTACAAGGTCCCAGCATTTGGATGAGATGGTTAATGTGGAAATAGCATCTAGGAGACATACATTGCACACAGTGATGATATGATATCTGTTCACTGTTGTTAACACTCATCTTTTTGTCTCCCCTTTCCTATATACCTGCCTTGTCCTTTTTTTTGGTACTTTTTAGTGTTTTATTAATACACCCCCCCACACACACAAACACACATACAAACAAACCACACAATTTTGAAATAACTGTCCATATATGCACTTCTGGTAACATAGAATATTGGGCGGAAAGAAAAAAAAAAGGTGGGTAGTGGTGGCCGAAAAAAAAAGAGAGAAACAACAGTTGTTGAACATGAACAGCGGTAGAATTTCTATAAGTTTTTAATGCACACAACCAACCTTTCGAAAACAAAACCATATTAAACAACTAATATCTGAACTGCAGTTCTGAACTTTGTTTAATTTTAATTTCTCAGGTAGGCTGCACAAAAACGCAAGGTTGCTTCACTGCGCTGCAAATTGATTTTTTTTTACCCTTCTTTTCCTTGTAGGTTGCGTTGTGTTTGGCTAGATGTGAGTCGATGTAGACATGCATGTGTTTTTCAGGGTTCTGACCTGAATAAAATGTGAAGG